GGAGCGCCCCCTAGCGTCTGAAAAACGTTCTCTGTTCAAGTTCTCTGACCAGGCTCCCCTTAAACTGCCTCTGCCTGAACGTCTCTCTTATATACAGGAGGGTGACCCCGTGTGGCCCACCATGGACCTGCACACAATACAAGATAGACACAAAAAGAAAAAAAAATAAGTGAAAGACAGCAGCCAATATTACGACCAGGGGTCATTGCAGTTTTTCAGTAATCAGAGAAGACTGAGAAAGTTTGTGTTCGAGAGAGACAGTGAGAGAGAGAGAGAGAAAGAGAGTTAATAAGAAAATAGAAAATGAGTAAAGAAATAGTTCAATTAAATTAGGCCTAAATGACCAATTAAATGAAATTTAACAGGGTAACTGGAGTCACATCAGTTTATGGAACAGTCATGGAGGTCGCTTTCAGCAAAAGATGCCCGTTCAATGTAGCAGCTCGCTTGAAGCTTCTGTTGAATCTCGCTCCACTAGTGAAGGAAACTTCAAAGAGGCATCGACAGGTACAGGTGCAGAGGTTTAGTGGTGGATCAGGTACACTCATGCTTATTTTGACAAATCAATCAGGTTTAATTTTAATGTGCAGCTGCGTTTTAACCCCGGAAGTTACTGGTTCAGCCAAAATCTCTGTTAAACTGATGCCAATGTGTGCTTTTTTGATGCAATTTAGAACCATTTTCAAAAAAGTTCTATATAGAACCATATACAACACATTCTCCATCAAGTTGAAGAACAATTTCACCATGCACAGAGCCATTTAAGCATGCAAATCTATATAGAACCAATTTCTTTACTGAAGAACCCTTGAGGAACCATCTGTAAGAATGCAGAATTGCTAAGGAAAACTACAAAAAGGCTTTGCAGGGGACAAACAGAGAACAGCTCAATATAAAGCCTGTTGATTTAAGAGGAAATAAGTAACTGGTGAATGGGCAAGAGACTCAATTGTAAGGCGAGAGTGACCTCTGCAGGAGAGGAGGAGAATGACCTGGCCTTGGTGGGAGGGGAAGGTAAATCATTGTATCCTTCATTGACATTGTGTTTTCTCTTGTGCTGTACCAAAAATTTAGAAGATGTCTTAGAGGTCTGCAAAAGTCATTACGATCATGCAGAATTAAAAAGGTAAAATAAAGACCTTGTAATCCAGTAGCCAAGGAGGAAACATTTGACAACAGCACAACATGGCTTCAACATCATCAGAACACATACAATGTAGATTCATTCTTGTCTGTCGTTGTTGTAATATGGTCTATATTGCTAATGAATAACATTCATTTTTCCAGATACAAAAAAACGTAAGTCTGAATAAATGATATTATTTTGCTCCTTTGTAGGAGACTTACTGGGTCGTGCACTAAAAAATCTTGATGGATTGCTGAAGATGCCATTTGGCTGTGGAGAACAAAACATTGCTCTCCTCGCCCTCAACATCTACATTCTTCAGTACCTCGAGAACACTGGACAGCTCACTGCAGCCATCCGTGAGAGACACAACACTGCTGTCCTGAAGCATCAAAAGCTATTTGACTGCTAATGGCGTCCCCTTGTGGAGAATTTTTACTGGCCGCATGAGTGTCGCATCTACAGACTCTTGCTGAACGAACCGTGATAATCATTTGCTTTTACACAGGATATTAGAGGCAACTGAACTGCAAGCATGATGATGGTGCATACAGCATATTTGGCAGCAGAGAGAAGAATAAATGATGAAAACCTCCTAAAGCAAACTATGACACATACAGCTCGAGGAAATAACTTGAATGATTAGAGAACCTTTAACTTTTAACTTACGATTTTCTAAATTTTGAAGTATAAAATATGAAATCTTGCAAATTATGAAAACATGAAGTACAGGGACTCTCCTCAACCACTACTGGGAACCACTGGCCCAGGGCAATCCATTTGAAAACATGTCAGTGATTTAAGCATGGAATTTGTTCCAGGGCTCTGAACGCAACATTGAACGGACATTCACAATTACGCATACACATGAATCAATAAATCGTTGCATCCTTTGTAAATACTTGATGACATTTACCCATTTGGGAGGTGATTTCTGATTTTATGTTATCATCTTGACCTCTGGGCGAATAATGCTTGAAGGGCAATTCCACCAATTATTCAAAATTTCTGCATAGTTTAGTGGTTGAGATGTAAACAGAGTAATTCAGAATGGTTCATTGTAGAGAAACTTACAGATTCAGATTTCTTTACAGTGGTGATGATAGAAAGCAGGTGTAGCGATGTTTACAGCCAAAATTATAGCCATTATATTTACTATTTCAAGCCACCAGAGCATTAAACATTTCAGATGTCTGGTTCCTATCACCATCACTGTGGACAATTCTGACGGGTTAAGCTTCTCTGAAACTGAGCAATTCACATCAAACCACTCCGAATGACTTTGTTTACATTTTAACCATTAAATTATCCAATTATTAGTTATAATAAAATTGACATTAGTTGTCATGTTTAAAAAGCCTTGGTGACCTAACAAAACACCTACGCCACTGCACTGCTGGCCTACACTTTCAGCCTGGCTGGAGAGCATGATGCTCAAGCGCAGCTGCTGAAGAAGCTGGACAGTGTTTCCATTTTAGGAGGTATGGAATGATGAGAATAACTGCAATAGTTACATCATGAAACCTTTAAGCTCAAATGTTAAGCTATTTTTGGCTATATTATGGTTTATCTCTAGACAAGCTTATTCTCTTGTTTTCCTTTAATTACAGGTCACCGTCTCTGGTCTCAGTCTGCATCAGATGACCCTGACTCCTTGGCAGTGGAGATCAGCTCCTATGTTCTGGAAGCTGTTCTCTCTACAGCTGAAGTCACTGCTGCTGGGCTATGGTAATAGGATTGTCAGCTGGCTGGTGCGGCAGCAGAATCCCTGAGGAGGCTTCTCCTCCACCCAGGTACTCAAATTTCAGCCTTTCTCAAATTTTTTTTCTGGTATATTAATACAGAAATCAGTGTTGTGTTGTGAATGTATAATTATTTTTTGGGTTTGGATCCCTTTTTATATTCTATGTTTTTTTCCTAATATGTTAAACTCAGCAATTAAATAGAAATTCTGCACTAAAAATATGTAGACAAATACATTTTATATGCAAATGATTTAATTTAATGTAATTAAAGTTTATTGTTATTATTCATATATATGAGTGTCCAGTATAACAAAATGCATTATGCCAGTTCTCAGGTATAAAACAATGTATGCAGTAAATTTACACCTTGGTTGCAGGAGCCAGTGTTGATGCACAAAGCTCATTATTTTGGGATCAATCTTTTTCATCAATATCTATTCTTGGTAGACTACCTATTTTTCTCTTCATTCATTTGGTGCTCTGCTTTCATACCTATTGGACTCACTTTTGAACTCAAGTCAAATGCATCTGATACCATTGGCATTAAAGGAGATCTTTTCAAAAAATCTGTGTGATCAGCAGTCATGGATATAAAAGATATGAAAAAGTCAAGATTGTTGGTAAGTTTTTAATAAGGTATGTAAAAAAAAAAACACTGGAAAAAAAACACTGCTGGGGATGCAATTGAACAAATCCATGTGATGGCTGGAAACTTTGAAGAGACATTTGAAACCAATCTTTGTTCTTCAAACTAGATCACGAGATACTTTTTGACCACCAAAAATAATCATGTGACTTTTTACTGTATTCATAGTTACTTGCATTCATTCTGATGATATATACGCCGATCAGGCATGACCTTATGACGACCTCCTTGTTTCTATGCTCATTGCTCCACTTACTATATAGGTGCACTTTGTAGTTCTACAATTACAGACTGTTGTCCATCTGTTTCTCTGCATACTTTGTTAGCCCCTTTTATCCTATTCTTCAGTGGTACTTTGTGGGTGGTGGATCATTCTCAGCACTGCAGTATAGTGGTGGTGCGTTAGTGTGTGTTGCGCTGGTCTGAGTGGATCAGACACAGCAGTGCAGTGTGTGTGTGTGTGTGTATATATATATATATATATATATATATATATATATATATATATATATACACAAAGTATGTGGAGTTGCCATATTCACAGTGCTTTATACACTGACCGGCCAATTTATAAAAAACAACCTCCTCGTGTTGGCATGACACAGTTCAAAATGGTGGGTGCATGATTCTCACAATATTTTAAACAGAGTTTGAATGAAAATGATGAGTGTTGCCATGTTGTTGCACAGGTTACCAAAGAGACTAGAGCTGGGAGGTGTGAGGAGAGTGGTGTATGATGGCCAAACATACTGGAGTGGGTAGCTGGTTGTTTGCAAACTTTGCTGTTATAAAGGCTGCAACCGCATTAAGGGGAATAATCAATAGAATGTCCATTACCCACCATGCATTGTTACATTTTTGCATTATAATATAATGATGCCACAAAGAACTGTAACAGCCCCAGCTGTTTGATATGTTTTCTCTCAGTTTACTTGCATTATTCTAGAAGTGTGAGGCTGTTACAAAGGCGGCATTTCTATGATGGTGGTCCCAATTATTTTCACTACTTTTGTCAACTGCCTTTTTTTATGTAATGCTTTTTTGATTCAACAAAAAGAGATAGAGAAAGTTACCAGTACAACCTACAGAAAAGTAAAAGTAAACACAGGTGAACAAGTGACAGGCATTTTTGCTGACTTTTCTTGTGGCTTTCTTTTTGTTTCTGTAACCATGCAGAGACTAGGTAGGCTGCTGTAATTTGGGTCTAGTTCATTAAAAATTAAACATATTTATTTCGTTATTTGACATGTATTAAACAATAAACTGTTCATTTAAAGCCCACTTAGAATACAAGGTGCTATTTTTCATTATCATTTTTTGAAACCCCCCAATAAAGTCTAGTTCTAATTGGTCTTCCAAGTGTTTCTCCATTTCTCTGTTCATCATGTGATCATGTGGATCTGCTGACTCCGTGTTTGGACAAAATATATAAAATTAAATCAAATTTAAAAAATAAATAAAAACAAACGTCGTCAAATCACAGTCCGCGGCTACAAATGACGTCACTTCCTACACAAGTGGTCTGGTGTGACAGCTGAAAACAACAATAACAAGATCGAAGAGGAGCGAGTTCAGCGATAAAAGTGACTGTTTTCCTCTGTTCGCTCTCTTAACATTACACTCTCTGCCTTTTCGTGGGTATTAGCTGATTTCTGCAGCAGGAGACCGTTAACCGTCACCCCAGCAGCCTTGTTGTTATGAGGAGTAAGGCTAGCTGCGGTGGTCGGCCGGGGGTGATAACAGGCTCCGGGTGGAAAGCTTCACTCTCAGACAAACAAACGCTGCTCGTCCGTTAACTTCGTTGGCTAAGCTGGCTGCCTGAGCCGCTCCGGCAGGTTTCGTCGTTTGGTTACTCTCTCATACACGCTGTTGTTTCCTACACGGGGCCATGTCCTCATAGCTAGCCTTACTGGCCTGTCTGTCATCACCACGGCTCGCTGTAGGATTCAGCTGTCGTTTCAGTCGTCAGCAAGTTACCGGCTTAGCTTACAAAGCGTTTTATGAAGAGGACGCAAACCAGGCAGCTCCTAAAACAACACAGTAACGTGCGGTCGTGTCTCGTGCTTAAATTCTTGTAATGTCACAGCTAAGTTAAGAAACGTTGGTCACTGTATCATTAATAGTACAGTACCGTGTTAGTCTTTCAACTTTCCACCAGAACTGGCGAAGGCACACGGAATAGCTTAGTATAAGTGTTCATTTCTTTTTACACTTCTTTTTCAAGACGCTCGTTTAGCTGCGTCGTTTCATTACAGTGTCCTAAACCAGTTTGGCTATTAACTGATGAAGAGCTGTAACGTTATTTTTGGCTTTACGTATTTGACCCTCTGTTAAAGGGAAAGTCCACACAACTTTCAAAGTCCACACAACTTTTCGACTTTCTGCATAATGAAATGTTTAAGATGTGGTCTTTCAGAGTGGTTTTGCTGAGAACAGTTCAAGAAACTTGCCCATTCAGAATTGTTTACAATGGTGGTGATAGGAACCAAATGTCTAAAGGCATTTAAGAGCTACCTCAAAGAAAGCTGTTACTTGAAATAGTTATGAAGATGATGACTGGTGACTGAGACACTGTTTTAAGATAGTTTTTAGATGGTTTTGGTCTTAAATGTGTTTTTAAAATTCCTTCAGGGTGGAGCGGTCAATGGGGGCGTTGTAAGGCAAAATAGTAACCATAAAAAACATACTTTATTATATGTGATGTTGATAACTTTAACATTATCAACATTACACATAAAAAAAAAACTTGTCACATGTAGGTTCACTGGTTGTTTTAGATAAATAAAATTGCTGTATTTGTGTTGTACACATTACAACCTGGGTTCTATCACAACCACTGTAAAGAAATCTGAGTCGGCAAGTTTCTCTAGAGTGAACTGTTTCATACCAAATCACTCTGAATGACTTTGTTTACATCTCCACAACTGTGTCATGCAAGGAATTGCCTTAAAAGAAGAGCAAACCAGAATTGAAGACAGAAATGTAGATGATATTGACAACAAAGTAGCTAAATTGTAAGAAATGACTGAGAAACAGGTCCTGTTCAAAACTCATTGCCAGGCTCATTCAGTAAATTTTCCTTTGGCTGTAACACCATGGCAACTTTGTTGTTGAGTATGCTAGTCTTTTGTCATGTACAGCTGCCGCGGCTCCTCCTGCTTTCTTTGTCATGCAGAATGAAACTAGCACTGAGGTGTAAACGTGGGATGGTTATTCAGTCTACCTTGAAAAAAAAAGTTGTCTGTTTGCACTGGCTTGGGCCTCTTGCTGATGCAATACTTGTTTTCCTCAGTTGCTTCTGGTGTCCCTCCTCTTATCCCTGAGCTCCTTGTTAAGGAAAGGTGAACTGAGTGGCCTTTCAGGACACACTCACAGAAAAGTGTGGTTGAGGACTTGTGGGAAGACACATTTACAGCAGGTAAGATTCCTAAAGTACTTATGCTCCTATCTTATATGTTAGATAGGAACAGAACATTGCAGGCAGCTCATAATTCTTTATAATATGTAAATCAGGGGTCGTTAGTTCTCGTCCAGGGAGGCTGGAGTTGAGGCACTTTGGTGACTACTGTGGTTTGGATACTTGGTCATTACCATGATCTAACACATCTACTTAAAGGGCCATTCTAGCTTAAAACCAGCATTTATGTCATACCCTTTTGTGCTGCATAGCACCCCTCAGCCTGGAGATGGAATATCAGTATGGATAGATATTTGGTATCGGGCCAATATCAGCAGAAAATGCTGGATTGTATACTGGAGGGAAAAAAAGATGAATCTGGTCTAATCCTGTAACAGATCTAACCTGAAATAGCACACACTAACATTGTGTAATAAGATGTTGTTTGCTGTATATTTCTTTCTGTGGGGTAGTGGAATGTTTGAGTAACCTACTCTTAGATGCTTGCCTTAAGTGAAGTGCTTTAATTAAATATTGCTCATTTTAAAGATCAAGTAATTTTTAAAGAAAGAATATCAGATCCATATCAGCTGATAATCAAGGTTTCAATACAGTACAGGTAACATGCCATCTCTACTTCAGCTTTATTGGTTTTACATAATTAATTTTGCATTATTTTTATGTTTTTATCAATAAGTGTTCTACTACTACAATACCCAGCATCCATTGCATCACACAATCATTAGGAATCCCTACAGCGCTAAGAAGATCCTGACTGGTTTAGGATTTGATCTGATCTAGAGGCTAATAAATATATCTGTGGTGCTAACTACCTTTAGTGATATATCAGTAACCTCAAATAGTTGTTAAACATTGTTCTTTGTTAAAGGAATAATTCAGTTAAGTAATTAGCCAGTATTCACCCCAAAACTTGTAGTCTTTCAAGATTTACTTCCACCTTCAAGACACTTCATCAGAAGGAGATTTTTCATTGTGGTCAAAGTGCCCCTTAAACCTGGTAAATAATTGATAACTTGAATCAGGAATGAGTGAGAAGAGAAATCACTAAAGTGTGTTGTGCTATGGCCCTCTAAGACCAATATTGAAAGACTATTGAAAGATTATTATTATTATTATTAGATGTACTGATAGATGACACTCTGTCATTTGTCTGGTATTTCAGAATGTTTTAAAGAACAATTTAAAATACATATAAATGAAATAAATAGTAAGTTTCCTTTCTGGAATTTTTTTTTGTTAATGCTTAAATGTGGTATAAGAGATGAAAACAGTCCAGCTATGTCAGATGTGTAAGATGTTCTCTTAGCATGAAGTAGCAGCACTCAGGTAATAAGGGTTCTTTAACTATATTAACACAAACTTAAATAGCATAGACGTTCAGCAAGCTGTTAGCCATCTTGGACAACACCTCACACCCCCTGCATGCTACACTGGATACACAGAGAAGCACATTCAGTGTCGGACTGTTACAGCTGCGCTGTGTTAAAGAGCGCTTTGTGAGATCTTTCTTACCCACTACTATAAGGCTCTACAATGAGTCTCCTTACTGCAGAGACAGTACTGATCTTTTGCTGTCTGAACTGTGCTGAACCACATCACTATTTCACCTCTCCTGTTAATACACACTGCAATATATCATAACCGCTACTGTAATGACACTCTCACTGCGCACTTTGCACTGTAATATCGCTGCCACTCCTAGTTATGTCTATACTCATTGTGCTTTTATACTTCCTCATACCACTCAGTGCCTGCTGTCATGTAAATACAACAAATCTGTCTTATATGCTATGTAAATATGCAAATACATTATATACATTTATTTCTACTTTCTTATACTTTAACATATCTATTTTTATTTCTGTTTTTTTTATTTTCTGCTTAGTATATGTAAGTTTATGTGCAGTTATATGTCTTGCTACTGAAACACTGCAGTTTCCCTTCATAAAGTTCTATCTGTCTGTCTGTCTATTTGATACTGTGATATATTCGCCGAATATAGTGATGTTAAATTGTAACAATACTGCTAAACTACAAATCTTTTTCTGACCTGGTCATGAATTGAAACTGTAGATGAGTAATGAGTTTTTTGGTCTCTGTCTCAGTTTGATTGCACTTAAAACAGTGAACGAGTTCTGCTTGTGTTGTCTCAGACATCAGTCCTGTGTGGGACAGGGCCATGGAGGCACCTGAGGGGGAAGGCCGCACATTCATGCAGGTGATCAGTGAAAAATACAGCCCAGAGAACTTTCCGTACCGCCGAGGCCCGGGAATGGGGGTGGTCGTACCATCTGGCCACCAGGGATCTCCTATGAAAGGTAAGTCAAGTCTTTAGAGAAGACAGATACCATCATAAGAAAGTGAATTCAGTCAATAGGGAGAAAACAATGTGTTCTTGTATTGGCTTAATTTATGCTTATTAGTTTGAATCCAGAGACAGATGAATTGATGGGTTAAGGTATTTTTTTCATCCCTCCAGACCGGCTGAACCTGCCCAGTGTGTTAGTCTTGAATGGCTGTGGAATCAGTAGTGCAGGAGATGAAGGAGAGATTGCAGCGTTCTGTGCTCATGTGGTCGAGCTGGACCTTTCTCATAATAAACTCCAGGACTGGCATGAGGTGGGTGTCTTCTTTCTGCCCTTTCGAGTCACTGTAGGTAAATAAAGATTGATAGAAGGGTGCAATATGTTGTTTGTTACTCATTTTTGCAGCCTTTGCAGTTCTCATATGGTAGATTATTTTGGTTAAATTATTTTTGTATTATTGATTCACCAATGCATGTCATGGACAACCAGATTTTCCAATTTGATGTAGCAGGTAAACATTGTTAAAGTTTCATAAAGTACCATATGTTCTTCAGTCTATACAGTCTGTATATGGAAACTAAGTTGCATAAAGAGGCTATTTTGAATTCATTGTTTTTAAAATGTAATGAAAACCAAAGCATTTACATACATCTGCCTGTTCGACGTACAGCAGTTTAGCCCTGCCCTTTCACAAGTTATAAGTGTTTCAGGCTGAACTGCTTTTTGAATGAATGCACTGCAGCCAATCGGAACAGAGGTCGTTTATATGTTTCAGTATGACAGTAATTAAAACAGCCTGTTTAATATTAAGTGCATATGTTTTTGGTACATAAACCTACATCAACATCAAAGTGGACCTTGGAAAAAATAAAATACAAAAAATGCAGGGCAGGGGCCTGTTAATATATTCCAAGGCATTGAAATCTCAATATGTAGTAGTATAATAACAATTTTAGTATGTCTGTATGATGCAGCCTTATTAGATACATCAGGTACATATCGCTGGTGTCGGAAGAAAACTTCATATCTCCATTTTTGACATTTTTTTAGTTTTTGACATAATTTGAATATACCTGTTACCTTATACATTGTTTGTTTGTAAATTTCATGATGAATGGACTAAAAGAAATGGCCCAAAATGGCTTGGAAAAAACTCTGGTTCCATTGACTTACATTAAAAGTAAAGTAGGTTTTTCCTTCTCCTGTAAAGTTACCATTTCAGAGATAAGAGCTTTTCTTCCAACAGTGATATAATTTATTGATCCTTCAGTAGCAAAAATATATATACAGCTCATTTCTTTTTTTTCTTCTGTGATTCTGAATTCTCATCTCAAATCTGAATGTTCTGCTTTGACTCCTGTTTCAGATTAGTAAGATTGTTGCAAACATTCCAAACCTGGACTTCCTGAACCTCAGCTCGAACCCACTGAGCGAAGCGGCGCTGGAGCCAGACTGTGCTGAGGCTTTCTCCAGAGTGCGGCGCTTCGTCCTCAACAACACCCAAGTGTCCTGGGACGTTGTGCACACCTTCACGCGCGAAATGCCTGAGTAAGATCACCAACTCTTAGTGTCAGCATTTCTGTAACCAAAAACTGCATGAGCTGATATTGAGGTTCACTGAAAGAGATCACTGCACATGAGTGACACTGGCCTTGAGATGCCCTCAGGATTTCAGAGACCATGTTGGTTATTGATTCCATAGGTTAGAAATATTGAATTCAAGTGGGTTTTGGTTTAAACTATCAGCTTCACTTCTGTAGTGTTAAGATCACTAGACATTCTATTGAGTAGTGCACTTTGTAGTTCTACTGTAGTCCATCTGTCTCTGTATAATTTGTTAGCCTTTTTTTGCTCCATTCATCGAGGGCCATGACCCTCAAAGGACCACCAGTGTGCAGGTATTATTTAGGTGGTGGATTATTCTCAGCAGTGACACTGACATGGTGGTGGCATATAGGGGTGGGAATCTTTAGGCACCTCACGTTTCGATTCGATTCGGTTTGATTCGATTACGATTCAGAGGGCTGCGATGCGATTATAAAACGATTATTGATGCATCTCGATGCATCTTTTTTCTCTATACAGGATTTCTATCTTCCTACTGTCTGAGGACTTGGTAGTTTTAAAGCAAAGTATTTGTAATGAGCCCTGCGATGGACTGGCGACCTGTCCAGGGTGTATCCTGCCTTCCGCCCATTGACAGCTGGGATAGGCTCCAGCACCCCACCGTGACCCAGAAGGATAAGCGGTTTAGAGGATGTATGTATGTATGTATTTGTAATGATCCATAATGTAAATGCATTACAGATCATTACAAATACTTTGCTTTAAATATCTAAAATATCTTTTATTAATAAATCAAATGGAAGTGATGTGGCAAGTGAACTAGAAGGCTCTCATTCAGAGACACTGCTGCCACTCATCTGCGATAAAATGCGCTGTTACCCTGAAATAAGATCCAGTGGTAATGGGTGTCCACGCAGCAGGTTACAGCCATCCTTCCCGTTTTCTTTAGTGATCTTATAACTTCAGTTTTGGTCTCGTTGTAGAGAGTGGCCGAGGGGGGGTATTTTCGAGACTGGACGCTGAATCTCGGCTCCACAGTGTGCAGCATAGCGCGAAAGCCCTGGTTCTCAACGACCAAGAGCAGACAGCAGACAGCAGGTCACATAGCACCGAAGTCTGGCCTCGCCAGTAGCGTACGAAAAAACAGAGATTAAGATGAACATTTGGAGGACTTATTCGCATTTATAAGCAGCGTGGTTGGTTAAATCTGCAACGAGAGTTAAAAAAAAAAGTTGCGAAAATGAACTCGCTTCTCTTTCGAATTTTCCCGTTCCACCTTAAATGGTGCAGCAGTTACATTCGGCGCCTAAGGCAGAATTTAAGGTGAAACGGGAAAATTAGAACGAGAAGCTGGCGAATGAGAAGCGACTTCAGCCTCGTAAAAAAAGCCGGATGCTGAGACATTTTACAAGAAACTCTTCTAGTTTTGAAGAAAAGTTTTCTGGCGGAGATGGGAGGAAAGCGGCTATAGCTAAAGCTTAAAGCAGAGCGAAGTAAATCTGCGCTCTCGTTTATATTTTTAGCCCATACTACGACATTAACACATACTGGACATTAAATGTTGTGGCTCCCAAGGTGGTTTGACTTTGTTGAAAAGCAAAATGTCTCTTCTTAACATTCGGGTTGTGATTCCTGATCTAACCTGGCTTTAATGCAGAGGGAGTCGGTCGGATTTCTCACTCATCTAACGTTAGTTGTGTTTTTGTTATGTGCCGTCACAGACTGTCCGGGCGCTAGACTTCCGCACTTCCAGTTCCGCCTTTTGCGTTCCGTCAACATTACGTTATAAATTAAATATTTAGAAAATCGATTTTTGACGTTTGTGAATCGATTCCGAATCGTTCACGTCCGCATCGCGAAGCATCTAAGAATCGAGTTTTTCCCGCACCCCTAGTGGAATATTAGTGAGTTGTGCTGGTACAAGTGTATCAGACACAGCAGTGCTGCCTGAGTTTTTAAACACTGTGTCCACTTACTGTCCACTCTATTAGACACACCTACCTTGTCAGTCCACTTTGTAGATGTGAAGTTTGAGACAACAGGTCATCTGTTGCTGCCATCCTCTAGACCCTCATCACTGGTCAGTTTCAGGCAACAGGGCACTGTAGGCTGGACATTTCGGTTGACAGACTATTTTCAGGCTTGTTTCACCTGAGCGACGTGGCATGAGCACCTCAGAACGTCTTGCTTTTCATTTTGCGGCTCATGTCAACAGGCTATGTGAGCAGAGTGGCAAAGCATCCCAGATGTGGCATGGTTTTCAGAGAATAGGCAAGGAATAGGCATGATATGTATCACTCTTTCCACTCACATTTATGTGTGTCCTCTAGACTGGAGGAGCTGTTCCTGTGCCTTAATGAGTACAGTACTGTGACGGCATCTGCCACTCCATGTACTTCGCTTCGGCTGCTGCACATAACGGACAACAGTCTGCATGACTGGAGCGAGGTGCGCAAGTTCGGCTCAATGTTCCCCTCTCTGGATACACTTGTCCTGGCTAACAACAACCTGGACTCCATTCTTGAATCGGGGGACAATCTCTGCCGACTTTTTCCCAATTTGCGCAGCATCAATCTGCATAACTCAGGTAAGATTTCTTATGATGAAATAGATCATATAAACTGGGGGCATCTATTACATAATGTGTATCCATTGTTTCATTTCAAGTTGGCTTAGTTCATTAAAGCATTCCAGCTAGTTTTTAATGTAAAGTAATATTATTAAAAATATTATAGAAAATAACATTGTGCAAAAGTCAGCAACCACCCCTCATTTAATTTCCAGTCAGAACAGCCCACAAGTGCAAGTTATTCATAAGTTATTCATTTTCAGGATATATCTCTGAGGAGATTAGAGATAAGATAATGTACTTGCTTAAGGAAGTGGAAAGTCGAAGGATGTGTCTGCAAATCAAACAGCCAAGAAGCTGCTGGTGTTGTCAGAACAATGGACTGATCACCCTATAATCCAGAACTCAGCATCATTGAATGAGATGTGGAAAAACATCCCTGCAGATTTCTTTAAAAAACTGAAAGCAAGTCTCCTGAAAATAATGGAAGCTGTCATAAAGAGAACGGGTTGGACAGACTAAATACTGAAAAAATTAGATAATATATTTAGTTGTTGAGGCTTTTATTTAAAGTAAAAAAATATGTTTTCTGTTTTTTTTCCCTTACACTGAAAAAACGAATAACATTAATAAATGAAGGGTGGTCTCTGACTTTTTCACAGTTTTTATTTAAATACTAAATGGAAGTACAGTTTTTGAGTAGTATTTCTAAATCTGTTAAATTCTAAATCGGGCAAACCCCCAGTAATGCAGCACAACACAAAATGACCTGATTACCTGGCTTCCTTTTTATTACTGCACTTGTGTGTGTAGGTCTAAATCGCTGGGAGGACATTGAGAAGCTAAATTTCTTACCTAAACTGGAGGAGGTGAGGCTACAGGGCATTCCCCTTCTGCAGACCTACACCAACACGGAGCGACGCAGTCTCATGATAGCGCAGTAAGTGTGTCTATGTCTCTGTCCTTTCTTAGACTTTCCTCTGGGACTGAAAGTAAAAACGCTGTCTGTCTCCTCACACCACAGACTGCCATCTGTGACCTGCCTGAACGGGAGCGTGGTGACGGAGGGAGAGCGAGAGGATGCAGAGAGGTTCTTCATCCGTTACCATCTGGATCACCCTGAAGAGGAGCTGCCTCACAGGTACAGTGCAGTTAGTACAAGGAAAAGCATCCAGCTTCAGAAAAAACACAACCATTTTATTACAATACAGTTGGTTTTTGGGTTGGGCTTTGTAAAGATGTGCTCAAAATATTGATGTAGTGGTATATCATGATGAAATTTGCAATTCTGCACATATCAGTGAAAAGATTTTTAAGTCTTTAAAGCCTTAATGCTTAAAATGTTATATTTTTATTTGTTTCATTTTGTACACAAATTATTTCTTAACCAAAAAATAACATTTAAACAATTATCCCCTTGTCCCAGATGTACTCAGTCAGCCAAAGATGTTTCTCATCTAGTCTCAGTCTTAGAAACTCTGCCCAGAGAGGACTATATTTTACTCATTGCTTTTATGCTGCTGTAAGCTATTGGAATTTTGTCAACTACATTTTCTTTGGCTATCTACACGTCCAAATGTATGCACTTTCAGTCACTTTTCACTAGTTCACTGCGGAAAACTTGTGTATGCAGTCGCATACTCTGCACATCATAAAAACAATAAGCTTCTCAGCGTAATATATAATAGCTGGATTGAAAACAAATGTGAAGTGCATTGTGTTGTTAAATGTTCTTCAATAATGTTTTTTGAAGCAATTAATTGCTAGTAAATTAGCGTGTTTGCCAATGCATCTTGTTTCACATGCATGTTTTGTTAGTGCACCATTTCATAAATTGCCTTCTCTTACATATTGTGTGGTTTGTGGTTGTTTTTTTGCATACCAGTCAAATGGCCCTTTCCTGTAGGAGGTTCTTGGCCACATTAAGTGACTTAACCCTCAGATCTCTCTGACTGTAGGTAGAAGTCTGGCTTGCAAGATTGATAGCTGCTAGGCTAATATTGTACAAACTGCATGCATAAATCACCACGTTTCATACATGCTCCCCTCCCTTTTTGTGGGCTTAAAGCTTATTGGACAAACTAATAATAGATAAAAAAATTGATACATTGTCATTTTTAATAATTGGTTGCAAATCCTTTGAAGGATTGAATTCTGAAACCCATAGACGTCATTAACGTTGTCGATGTCCAAATATTTATGGACTGTAATTATCCCAAACTATGTTGTCCCAAATTGAGTTGTTCATTAATGCAAAATAGACCCACTTAGACGATTTTAGAGACTACATGACATACTGTAATCTAAAAAGGGACAAAAAATGAATGACAAGGCAGGTGTGCCAAGATTTAGGCATGCAGTTCCGTTATAATAGCTATAAGCTTCCAGTACTTGTTAGATATATTAGTCTTGTAGTGCTAGTGAATGAATGAATAAATGGTGTACATTTGGTTTTTGGTTTTAGAGTGCTAATAGACTCACTGTGCCTCCACTTGAAAGGTACCACTCTTTGGTGACCAAGTATGGGAAGCTGGCCCCACTGGCTGAAATTGACCTGCGGCCACGCTGCCATGCTAAGGTGGAGGTGCACTGTGAGGACCGAGTGGAACAGGTGAGCATCCGGTTGGACCAGACTGTGGCCGAGCTGAAGAAGCAGCTGAGGACAGTGGTTCAGCTCTCCACCAGCAACATGCGCCTCTATTACATCGACAAAGACATGTGCTCCGCTTTCGGCCCTGAGGAGATGAAGTACAGCACGAGGGCCCTCCACTCCTACAGCATTCGCGACGGGGACGAGATTCTGGTGGTGCCCAAGACCAAATGACTGACCGGCACTCACAGGACCTAGAAAAACTGTTTGGAATAATGAAATCCTTTCTGAACTAGCCCTCTGTAGGGTCCACGGTATTTGACATGATTCAGGAAAAAAAAGAACACCTATACTTATCAGACTGGCTCAGATTTTGAAGACATTGTTGTGTTGTAAAGGGCATCTCACAAATCACAGTCGCTACACGGTCACCACACACATTGCTTAATGTGTGCGGCCCTGCACTTGTTGCCATAGTATATATAAGTGGCTTCCCTTGTTTTTGTTGACTTTGCCCTTGTATGGGGTTTGCTATTAACTTTCAGTAAATGCCTGTCTCTTCAAGACAAAAGCACAAAAGAGGATGCACTTTTTTGGCAGTCCAAATCTTATCCATCTTAAGAACCTCGCGACAATCATCTGCGACTTATGCTATCCCGGTTTGCAGCAGGTGCAGAAAAGGCGTTGGACGGTGCGGATGTCTTGAGGAGAAATGGTGGATTTGCTGATGGTGTATGTATGCTGTGTCAGCCTAGTAAAAGACTCACATTTGGAAACATCTTATGGAGGGGAAGTGCTGGCCTTTCATGCTTTTTTTGTAGTAACAGATGCTACTGAACAGTGTTGGACATTGCAGAGTTGAACAACAGTCCTTTTTTTTTTATTTATTTTGTAATGTTCCATTATTGCATGAATACAAGGCAACTTAGTGTTTGCTCTGGTGGTTAGAGTTGGCAATAAGTATCAGCACCATATCAGAATCAGACAATAATTATTTAAAACCTCAGCATCAGTATCCATTCAGTCTTAGGGTTTAGTAACTGATATTCAGAGACGATATGATCATGCTTTGGAAGGAAAGAAGGAACTGCTCTGTAGCTTTGCGCAAAATAGACTTAGTGTGACCATCTAGTAAAAATGTACATGGTAGGGGTGCACAATCATTTCAGAATCAAAACAATAATGGCAGACAGTTGCTTAAAAAATTATCAGACAGATGTTTAGATTTGACAGGTATTTCAAACCAATATCTGATGACATCTGTATTGTACTCTGGAATAGCAGAATGTTTAGGAGATGCTAAAGTATCTGCATTTTATAAATTTTACTGCATTTTTAACCCTTTACAAATATATATTAGATTTCTCTCTAATGCCATTCCAGGTAGATTTAGTACCAATGTCTTTAATGTTTATGTGTCGGCATCGGCAGAAACGTTTCGGATATCACATAATGGATATTGTTTTGTGATTTTCTTTAATGAAGCCACCAGACTGATGAAGAAAATCCACTTTTCTTTAAAGGTACATATAAAGCAGAATGCCCAAAAGTTCCATCTTGCCAATAGAAAAAAATACTACATATATATCAAGCCACATGGTGATTTCTTAATGAAAAAATCATACCTTAATGACTTTTGTTCACTGGTACTACTTTGTTAAAATCTCCAGTGCATTTATGCGGCTGATTGCATTTCATTTGCCTGTTTTTACTGCGTATACGTTCGCCTTGTTTCAGTTTGGTGCCATTTGTAAAAATAGGAGTATGACTATTTGGCCAGCTAAAAAGTTGTCACTGAATGTGTTGCTCTGTGCCGTTTTCATTCTCATAAATCTGTTTACAAGCACTGGATGACTGTGCAGTTCAGGACTGTTTCCTTTTTTACAGGATATGACCATGTTGATGTTTAGAATCTAAAGCCTTGAATCGATGAGTCAGTCCTGAAAAAAGAATTTCAGGAATTATTTTGCACTGGATATTGTTTGTTATTCGTTTGTGGAAAGACTGTGAGCATGCTTTAAAGCAGCTGGCAGCAAAATGAAGATCAAAATTTGACACAGTTCTCACTCTCGGTACAAAATTAGTGAACAACCATGAAATTTGAAATACAACAATGTCTAATATCAGTAATATGTCATTATGTTGGGAAAACTCCATAAAAAATATACAGAGTTTTAACAGAGCAGTGGTTTAGATCTACTATCATGTTCCAAGTGAGGTTAGTGCTTAGGCCAAATGAATCGCCTGATTTTACCAAGCATTGCTAATTTCAAGGGACATTTTTAAAAAAATATTCCTATATTTGACCGTTTGGATGTGATTTTTTTGGTGGACATGGAGTATTATCCAATATAGTATGATATATTCCAGAAATATCATATACTTCAGCAAAATGACCAAGATTCCTTCAAATTACAGTTAGTATAATTCTATCATCATATCACTGGCACCTTTTAGACCACTATATACTTTTTTTGTTTTGGTAATTAATAAAATGTCTGTAGAAAAAGTATTACACTAAAGTATTCTATGAAAGTTAGGGTGTAGTTTATTTATCATAATTATAAATTATTAAACTATGTTATTGATCATAGACACAACTCATGTATCTATACAGTTCATGGTTTTTGCACATTAATACCCTGGTGAGATATACCCAGTAGGTTGACAGCTACATTTCAGGTTGTAATAGCTCCAGATTTGGGGGAATATCAACTAATCTTAGAAGCTGAAATTGGAATCAAAATGAAAATGAAGTGTGCAGATAACTATAGCAATGTCTGTTTTTTTTTCTTTTTACTGTAACTGTTGTACGTGTTTTACTGTACTATTGTTTTTTTTTTCACCAAATGGTGTTTGAGATGACATTGTCCAAATCATGTTATTTAAGAATAACAGAGTAGTTTGTGATGTCATCTTTGTTTTCCTTATATATGATTACCAAAACACAAGTGGGTAGTTGGTTAGAGAGCAAGTAGCAACTTCAATCTATATTAAACCCAAGAATAGACCATGAAGACTATAATATGTATAATCACATTCCCATATTGGAAGAAAAGATAAAGCGCTCATTGTTTTGTATTGTATTTAATCGAGGGACCTGCCCATATAAAAAGGTGTATTGTAGATGTTTGATTATTGACTAATATTTGTTGAAAAAAAGAATACTTTACACCCTGATTGTGCTTACAGCAAATGATCAAAGATAGCAGGAGTTTACATTGTGTTCTTTTTGAAGAAATATCTTTGAATAGATGGATAATGTGAAAGAAATTGTCGTTGGTTTCATTGGTTCTCTTTTGTAATGTTTTGTTTAATGCCTGGGTCTTATTTATTTGCATTAATTTGTTTTGAAATGAATTGAATAAGCTCTGAATGTATGCTGTGGATGTTCTCTAGTAGTGGTTTTTACTTCTTTGATTCAGAGCCACATATCTAGAAGTTATGTATCAGGTATCATATTTTTAAACCTTGCTTTAACCACCAAAGGAAGACTTAATCTTCAAATCTGAACAATGTGACAAATGTATATTGTGAAGGGTATGTAACAGTACTTTGCCACAAAAGGGACAGAGAAATTGACTTCCACCCATTGAGTACATTTACTGTCCATCAACATGACCACTGAGAAAACAGTTGTTTTTGTTCAGTCCTGCATATACAGAAGGGTGAGTTTCAAACGGCATGGTTTTGGATTTGCTTTCACAAGTTCATCCATCCAAATGCATGTGTTAACTGACTTATGCTGTTGCACAAATAAGTGGAAACGAATCAGTCCGCAACGTGTTCTCAGTGTTTCTTTGTTGGGAATGAAATGCTTCGAAAGTGGAAGGGAAATAAACAAATAACTGAGGTGTGTTTACAAGTTTGTTCACTTCATATTGTGTAGTTTCTTGAAAGTGCTTTTGGCTCAACACAGTTCATCTTTTCAGTTTACTCCCCTCATCGTAACAATATTACTGTCGACAGCTTGTTTGCTTGTATTTACAGTGTATTTACAGGGGCCCCAATAAGAAGTCTATAGTGCTGTGCAAAAGTCAGAGACCACTCTTCATCTATTTAATTTCCAGTCAAAATGATCATTAAGTACAAGTTTTTTCAAGTCATTTATCAGCATCAGAGAAAAACAGGAAACAATTTAACAGAAAATTACTCAAAAGCCTCAAAAACTAAATATAATATCTATTTTTAGCATTTGGTGTGTCCACATTTTGCCTTTATTACAGCTTCATTTTTTTGGGGAGATTTGCTTTCAGTTTTCAAAGGAATCTACAGGGATACACCTCCAAAGTTCAGTCTTAGAAGTTGTTCTGATAAAACCAGCATCTTCAAAGTTTAATTTTTCTTTCTTTTCTTAATTTCCTTTACTCAGTAACAGCTTCTTGACAGCTACACATCCTTTCAGATTCATAGCATTGAGCTGTCTTCTCACAGGGGAGGGATAGACAGAAACACCTGTGAATTTTTCATGTCTAAAGTAACAGTGGATCTTAACCTCTCAAAGATGAAAGCTTTAAGTACTGTTTATCTGATGGTGATGGTCTAACAGGTCTTGCACAGTTGTTAGGAGTCCCATTTTAACTATTAACCTTTAATCATTAATCATGTTTCTTGTTTTTTAAGTTTTAACTCCAGTTTTGGAAACTTCTGTTTTTTTTCCATGTTTTTCTTTGATTTTCCCTTCCCTAAGTGGATTATGTTAGACAAAAAATATCCTGAAAAAATGAATAACTTGTACTGAACGGCAGTTTTAACTGGAAATGAAATAAAGGGTGGTCTCTGACTTTTGCCCACTGCTGTATTTGGACACTTAAACCGTTGGTAAAAATTAATGAAGTTCTATAGGTTACTTTATCAAATGTTTAATAAAATTGTCATTGTTTCAGAGAGAAAAACACTTTTAGAACAATATCAAACTAATGGTAGACTCTTTGTGTGGAGAGAGCCTGGTGAAGAATTCCCACCAGACTGCATTAAGGTTACTGTAAAGCACAGAGCTGGGGCTGTTTTGCTGGCTCGCCCTTGTGTTCACTGGATCCAGAACTCAGAAGTGTACAAAGGCATTATGGATGCAAACCTGCAGAAGTCAGTTCAAACAACCGAAGTGGAAGTGGATCAGCAGCAGGGTGATCTGAAACACGTTAGCTGTTTTTTAAAAGGTATTTTGTGTCCTATTACAATGAACTTAACACAATTTTAAGTACGGCACAAACGTCCTAATGCTGTTTAGTGCCAGTGTATGTTACGAATACACATTAATAACACGTTAATAGTCATTTATAACTACTGATTTACAGACCTGTAAAACTAATCTGCTCTTTTTCACCGCCACCACTCGTCACAACGAAGTGTTTGTTCCGTCACCAAGGCGATGGTGTGGGCGGTGACACCGTGTGACGTTGGATGAGCGACATTGACCAATGAGCTGACAGAACGGGCGACTGACGTCACAATTAAAGTGAGAGAACCGTTATTAGAACGCACAGCTTGGAATTCTACAAACGCAGAGGCGCAGAATTAAACAGACTTCACTGGCTGACACTTCAGCGGTACTGGTTTGTGTATCATTACCAGTACGAGTCTCCGGTCCTTCGTCACTCAGCAGAGTCCGAAGTGGCTTAGTAGTAAATGGGGAGGCTCTGTTGGAGGACCACAGGAGGATGGTTACGGTACAGTGTGGTGAGTAATGCGCCGCTGTCCCTCAACATTCTTCTCTCTCCGTACGACTCGGACTCGCTCCGTTGTCTGTAGCCTTTTCATAGTTAGCCAGCCAGCTAACTCCGACTTACTATGTGCGATAACTGCGCAATTCCGTTGTTCCACCCGCTCTTTCATTGGCCAGCTAATGGCTAATAACTGCCCTTTTCTCTTCACCCACACCGCTTCCCCTTCTTGCCATCTCCGAGCCAATTTGCTTAGTTTTGCACCAAACAAACAGCAGTGGATTCATATATTCGACAACTGTGGCCACCAGTGCGTGTCCAGGCGGGTTAACTTGGTAGACACGAACTGAACGGCAGTTTGGGTAGTTAATCAGAGTCTTTAAACCAGTATTGCAAAGTTTGAACTACTGTATTTTGGCTGCAGTGCAGGCCATGGAGTTCACTGAAACCTTACTCCAAGAATGGCTGACACAAAGCTGTGAGCTGGTCCAAGTTTGTTTGGTTTCAGCGCATCCCTGCTTCACCTTCATTTTCTTCTTGTAATAGCTTGGCTCAAAAGTCAGCCTGCTCCAGGTTTTGTTTTCACATGTGAAAGGCAAGTGCAGTTTTATACAAGTACATTGGAGCACCGTTTTGGTGCACTTCATTCTGTTGCTAAGGCTGAACGAGATGGCATCAACTCAACCTCTGAAGTTGCCAGCAAACCCACCCAAGTGAACAACCTACGCAAGGCAACAGGACATGGGAGGATTGATTGCCTGCACGCTTTTCTTTTCTCTGCTTTATAAACACCGAACCTCTCCCACCTTCTTCTTACCCATGTTCCTTACAGTTAAATAAGTAATTCATTAAAAAAAATCAAAAGTGCACAACTGTCCACTCACCCCAAACCTGGCCAGTCAGTCTAGACATGGTTGAACTCTGAAGTTTGCTTTCTTAGTTGTCACTAAGAAAGCTACAAGGCTGGTGTAGCTAACAAGTAATAGAATCTGTGTCAACAAAACCTTTTTGCAAATCTTGACTAGTTTACATTTGGGCAAATGGGAAAAATGTGTAAATGTGAAATTCTGTGAACCATTTCTGAGGTCATATGTGAGTTGGGCATCTTCTCTCCATTCAAGGCTGCCAATTAAGCGCCACCAGTGGCAAACCATCATACAGAAGAGTTACTCCTTCACAGTTTCATTAAAGAAACGGGTACACAGCCCACCTGCCCATAAAAAGCATCCATGCTAGGCCTTTAAGAGCAAAGTGGAATGCCACTAAGTGTTGAATGACCGACTGAGGTCGTAGGCGATAGCTATATTTACCATCCCAGTAACATGATCTCTGGCATTCTGGATCACTGTGCTCATACAATCCCTCCCTGGTCCTCTTGCTCAGGGGCCACAGCCTCCAAAACAGCACACTGCGTAGCTACAGAAAACACTGGTGAGCCTCACCTCCAATTTACAAACTTTACCTTTTACTCTTTTACCTTTTTTTAAAAAAAATCTTCATCTGATGCTTGAATACCACAGCTAGAGGACCTTTCTAAGGGAAAAGACGGTGCTTTACAGGTCATCATTCATGCTTTATTGTGGGTTGTGGATTTACCGAGGACTTTACAACAAGTAGCGGAAACGTGGTGGTTGAAGTGCTGCATGTTTTGCAATGCTAGAACCACTTTGTGAATAAGATGCCTAATTTTATAGGAATGCCTAAGAACGTTCATGTTATACAGCTGTACAATGTAGATGTCATGGAGCAGATTAAGTACAGGTTTATGGAATAACCTATATTTGTCATGATATTAGGTTTTTTTAATAGCCCAAGCTGAGTGCCTGTTTGAAGGTCTGAGTTATATTAAGGATTACTCTGAGGAAACCAGAAATCTGTATTTTTTATATTTCAAATGGAAAGTTATGTGTTTTATTTTGTCGCCGGCTACAGAGCCAACTTTTTCTGCCTTTTGATATTCTGATGGTGGTAAACATTTAAGGATTGGACCATATTTTTTGTCCGAACTAGCCAAAAGCCTAACAACTGTTCCATCTTTGTATTTCTTCAGGTTTGAGCAATGAGAGGTGGATGTGAGATGTGACAAACTGCCACCACTGTTTTTCCGTCAGTTGGAACTGAGAACGGCTCTACTTACAGCAGGTACCCCATAACCTAACACCCATCTGTTACCAGAGTGCGCACCACATACTGAGAGGGAACCTCATGCACAGACTGTATGCCTTTATAGCTGTTGCTTGATTCTTTGTTGTTTTATATTTTAAATAGAATTAACACAATGGAGTATTATGAATTGCACTGAAAACTAACCTGTTTCTTAAATCGGCTTCTGATTGTGTCATTAACCTGAAATACATGCACTTTTCTATATTTTCTTAATCTTACTTCATTTAAAACTTCTAAACGAACTCTGCAGATTGTGATGTGTGATGCTTCGAAAAATGTTTGACGTGCTAAATTAAAGATTGATTTTTTAAGTTAAGCCAGTCTTCCTTTTTTTCACTGTATGCCCAACATGATGCATTGACAACATTTATATCACCAGATTGCACTCAAGGCTTTAAAGTCAGATCTAGAAGGTGCTGGAAACACAGAGGGAGCACAAACATGCTAGAAGGTGCACATTTCAGAGCTCGTGATATTGGAGGAAGGGCTGAGTTTAGCTGAGAGTGGAATCATAGCGGTCTGTCATTGGTCAGAGGGGAGGGCTGAGGCGTCAGTTTGGTCCTGACAGACGTAGAGTTCCTATCTGCTTATGTTTCAAGGTAAATATAGCTGTGCCTAAGACTCTGCCTTAAGTATTCAACATGCTGACCACAAGCACTGTTTATGTTTGGAAAAGCCCCTTCAGTTTTGAAATGTGGGTAAATGGCATCCATTGTGTCTTGGGTGCCACTTCTTTGCTTTGTTTCATTACTTTGTCTCTGTAGTGTATTGTTGCTGTTTTTTTGTTGGCGGTAACACAAAACTGATATTGTTGAATACCATTTAGCCTAGGGTTTGTTTTGTTTTTGTTTTGCTGCAGTTTGGTCTGCCTTAGCAAGCTGTGAGGCTAAAAGAGTACATTAAACAAGAATGGAACTGTAAAATAAATGTAGGCTGCAGTTAAATGGTGCACAATAGTGACTGTGCCTTTCAGAATTGAGCATTCTGATCCACTCTCAGCTCTGTTATCACTGACACAAGCTCGTATATTAGTCCTTGTTAGGCCGTGTCTGTGCTGAACGTGTTTGGCTACTCCCATCATCAGCCGCGATGGAAGCACACTTCTGACTCATCAATGGTCCACACATATACCCTCCCATAGCACTTCACACCTCTCTTCGTGCTGATTCAACACTCAGCCTGAAGTGTCAGAAGTGTCTGAAACACATTTCTCAAGTTCCACAACTGGTTTGAGAAACGATCTAGCTTCTTCACATCTATTCATAGAAAGTATACTTCTGTGCTATTTGAGCTTTTTTGTGCTAATGTGCACAAAAAAGAGGTAGCCATGCCCAAAAACCAGCCTGTATGATTCTTATACGATGGAAAGTGTAAGCTCTAATATGGATCTGTTTAAGCTAGAAAATACAATCTCTATTGTTCTTATAGGGTAAAAACAGATAATAATACAGCATGGGAAGGTTGTGTGTGGATTTGTTTAGGCTAGAAAAAATGGTGTTCCTCTTATAGGGTAAAAAGCTCAATTAAACGTCAAAGAAAGTTCCTGTATGGATCATTTAGGCTGGAAAAATATCTGAATTGCTCTTATAGGGTAGAAATTTAATAAAACATCAGCAAAGGCCCTTGTGTAGATCTGTGTAGGCTAGGAAGATTAGGGTAGAAAATGTAACAATAAGTCAAAGAATGCTATGTATGGATAAATATCTGCATTCCTCTTACAGAGAATAACGTTTAATAAAAAAGTGAAACTCCTGTATGGATGTGTTTAGGCAAGTGAAATATCTGTTCTCATAGGATGAAAAATATAATAATATGTTAAAGAAAACTAAAATATGAATCAGTTCAGGTCTGAAAATATCTGTATTACTTATATAGGGTAGAAAATGTCATGTAAAGTCTACGAAAGCTCTTGGACGGATCTTTTTAGGAGAGACAATATCAGTGTTCCTCTTAGGGTAGAAAGTTTAATAAAACGTCAGAGAAGGCTAATGTATAAATCTATTAAGGTTAGGAAAATATCAGTAGTCATCTTGTAGACTAGAAAGTTTAATAAAAAAATCAAAGAAAGCTCTTGAATTTGGTTTTGTTAAGGGTAGAAAAATATTATTAATCTTAAAGGGTAGAACGTGTCAGAAAAAGTCAAAGAAAGCTCTTGAATTTGGTTTTGTTAAGGGTAGAAAAATATTATTAATCTTAAAGGGTAGAACATGTCAGAAAAAGTCAAAGAAAGCTCTTGTATGGATCTATTTAGGCTAGAAAAATACCAGAATTTCTCCTATAGGGTACAATGTTTAATAAAAAGTCAAAGAAAACTAATGTATGAATCTATTTAGGCTAGAAGAGTATCTGAATCTCTCTTACAGGGTAGAATGTTTAATAAAACGTCAAAGAAAACTAATGTATGAATCTGTTTAGGCTAGAAGAAAGTATGTGTGCTCCTCTTATAGGGTAGAAAGTTCAGTAAAAAGTGAAAGAAAGCTCCTGAATGGATCTGTTTAGGCTAGGTTTGCTTAGCAACACACCTTGGAAACGGATTACAATGCTCCACGCTGTCAGTTGGCTGTTGTTTACTTTGTGAAGGACAAGAAGGGAACATGCTTTGACAGTGGTAGACAACTGTCTTAAGGCTTCTCATCTGTAGTGAGTGCGAGCAGTCATGGTGTGCCGTGTGCTTTGGACTGCCTCCAGTGTGCTGCCTACCCCAGATCTGTATGTTGAATTATTGATGCCTCTGTGGACTGCACTGAGAGAGAGACGGAGAGAGAGGAAAGAAAGCAAAATGCATGTGCGTATTTGAGTGAGAGAGTGAGAGAGACAGGGAGAGCAAAGAGAGGGAGAGAGAGACCGATTAAAGAAACAGGAGCCTTCCTACTGAACCCAACACGGATCGACAACACCAGATACTTTTATTTATTCAGATGCTGCGCTGCCTTGTGAACAAGAGCCTGTCTCTCTGCACCAGAACAGACTGTGCCACCTTAACATGCAGCTCCACTCAGGAGACTCTCACGTTACACACAAAAACAGCAGGGGCTGTGGTGCACTGCCCAGGCCGCAGCACCGCACAAGTCCGCCATGAAAGAATGTAGGAGGCAGCTAGTGGAACAGCTTGACGCAATGTTCTACGTAAGCAGCATGTCCCCTGATTGCATACCTCCACGTATAGTGCGTGCTGGGTTCGGGGGACAGTCACATGTTCTTTGTCATCAATGCTTTAAGGGTTTAAGAGCACAGCACTCTCCATACAACACAAAGTCATCCAGTATTTACAGACAGTGCATGCATAGTTTCACACTGCAAAGATATGCACATAAAAATTTCAGTTTTTGCTCTCTGACTCACTTACTGTCAGCATGCAGATTGCAAAATGATAAAAGTAACGTTAACCCCTTAAACTTCATGGACATACACATTCTAAGCTTTATTATTAATTAACTAATAAGTTATAATTAATTGCCATTATTCATTTATAAGAGTGAGCAGTGGAACTCTGGATCCAAGTCTGTGAATATTAACCCCTTAAACCATAGCCTTATTATTCAGTCATTGATCTTTAACCACTACAGTACTGCACAAAAGTCAGAGATCACCCTTTCATTTATTTAATGTCCATTTATTCATTTTTCAGCATCAGGACAACAGCAGAAGACATCTGTTTAGCCTAAGATTACACAGAAGCCTCAACAATCAAATATATACATACTTTTTCAGCAATTAGCTTCCATTCTTGACTTTTTTCAGTTTTTCAAATAAATAACACACCTCTAGAGTTCAGTCTTAGAAGTTAGTAATATTTTCAGCTTCTCACAGCTTCTCTCAAGTAATGTTAAGAACACCAGCAGATTTGATCCTTGTCGTTAGTGTTGCACCGGTAGCAATACTGTATTGGTTTTGGTCTGATACTGGCACATAAATACAGTATCACTGTCAGCAATAGAGAACACTGATACCAGGAAGCAATTTCTGATGCACAAGTGCGCCAGTACATGGAGTTTAACTGAAACAAGCATCATGTCAGCAGTATGGGATTATTTCACGTATGAGACGAGCAGTTGTAAAAGATACTCAGTGTAAAATCTGTAACGCCAAGGTGGCCTGACCAGCAAGGCTTTCAAGACATCAAATTTAATGAAGCATCTAAAGATAAACCATGCAAAAGAGCACTTTTTGTAGCTCTGAATCCATCTAAAGGTGAAGATATCCAACCAGTAAATGCCGTTTATTCAAGCTTAGTTTGTTTTATTTGTGACACAGAAGACTGCTTAAACCAAAATAAAGTATTTCCAAAGTAGAATGGTATAAATATCAGGATTTGTAGGCAACTTTTGACTAGTGAGTCGAGGTTGGCGGTATGGCAAAATATCAAAATGCTTCAAGAATTTTTTTGATACACATATATCACAATATTTATTCTTTTTGCTATCTAAAAAGTTGAAATGGACAAAAAAGTTGAAATGTCCTGCCACATTCACAAAATACTGTCAAAAACTATGAGCACAATGTTTTAACATTTCACAAAATAGGACTAATTATGCTCTCATTGTAATAAAACATGCCGTTGGTCAGTGTTGTAGAAGTACTGAAGATATCCACGATACGCTATGACAATAAATTATGTCATAATGTGAAGTAATTTATCTTAAAAAATGATAAATATTGTCATATTGCCCAGCCCTAGTAGTTAGGTTAGATAGAGTAATGGTATAAGAAGGGAACAAGTGGTATCAATACATCCCTAATTATTGTGATAAAGTAAGTCAGCATGTGTTTTCAGTGCAGCACTTTAAATGTGACACTACTGTTTCTTCTTCTTCTGCTCTAACTTATCAAACCTCAGAGAGAACTAAATGTCCTGATCATGAATTGAGAATCCCAGACGATTCACTCATGTTGTCTTTTGCAGTCGATGCGGCCTGCCACTGCCTCGCCTCCGGCTGACCTCCCAGCATGTCTCGCGTCTCCTCCACGGCTAAGCGCTATGCCGGCTCTTCCTATACGAGCCACTATAGCTCATACAGCTCCTCCTTGACCCCTTCGCTGAGCTCCTTTGATCGGGACAAGCTGCCCTACAAAACCTCCTCCTCATCTGGCTACTCCTCCTCCAGCTACCTGAGCTCCAGCACCAGCCGCGTCCGGAACTACAGTGCCTCGTCCGAGCCCGACCGTGGTCGGCCTGTCCCCTCGCAGCACCGACCTGCTGACTGGCCGGCGCAGCGAGAGCCTGAGCCGCACGCCCGTCAAGGGCTATGGCTCAGGCCTCAACGGGGGCTCAGGCTACTCGGGGTATGGCTACTCGTCGGCCCAGTCCAGCTACCTCTCGGCCTCGCCCTCCAGCATCTCCTCTTCCAGTGTCTCCCTTAGCCGCCGCAAGTCAGTAAGCCAGAGTGACCTGACAAGGGACCTGTCCTCACTGGGCCTGAGTGAGGCCTCCAGCAGCAGCTCCAGCCTGAAGCAGGCCTACAGGAGCCAAGCCAGTGACAGCACTGAGTCCTACAGCAGCAGTAGCAGCTCGCGCTCTGGATATGGCCTATCACGAAGCTCCACGCAGGAGGCCCTGAGCAGCACCAGCAGCAGGCGCTTCTCCACCTCCAATGGCCGCTCCACCTCACCGGTCAGGGATTCACTGGTAAGATTCATAAAGTTCACTCACATTCTCTAAGAGCAGTCTATGCTATGTGCTAAGAATGTACTTGAACCATTTTTACTGTTTGAATATACACATTACAAATAGATTTTAAATATGCCATAAAGAAATTTAAACATGGAAGATTTAACATCTGTTAATTTCTGTATAATTCAGTTGTTAAGATGTAAAGAAAGTCATTTATAGTGGTCTGATGTGTAACGGATCAATGTAGAGAAACTTGCAGATTCAGATTTATTTACAATGGCTTTGATAGTAACCAGGGTTGCGAGAACTACAGCACAAGTATAGCCATTCATTTTCTTTCCAAAAATTACCAGTAGTACTGACAATAGTAAAGTAATAATGTGGTACCATTTGTCTTACCACTCCCTACATGTACCTCTCTGCCATGAATAATAAAAAAATAACAAAATAGCCTAAAAGCTTTTCTTAAAACTTTCGTAAAACAATGTCTCAGGCATCAAGTAACATTTGTACCCGTTTGTACCCACGGCAAGTTTCTCTAGAACTTAATCAAAGCACTTTGAAGGACTTTGCTTACATTGTAAGGATTTAGTTAAACCAAAAGTGTTGAAGAGCAATTGGTGGAATTCCCCCTATAACTTACTACCAGTCGACCTACAGTTTCTTTTAATGTGAGGTGCAGTATCAGCTGCATGTGTCCTGATATTTTCAGCAGTTCCATGTTGCATTATGAGTTAAAAACATACAAGATAATATATATATTTTTTTTTTCATTTCAAACTGCATATATGTTGTTCAGATACCTGGTTAGGTAAATGAATGCTAAGATTGCAGATACTTCGATATTTAAATAGCTTCACCCATCCTTAGTGTTTGCTTGATGGAGGTAGTCTGGTCATGTGGGCAGTTACAGAAGATGTTGTGTTGTAGAGCTCCATTGGGGGGCACCGTTGTAAAGTTAAAGTTATGCGCATTTTTGTGGGCACACACACCTGAAAGTATGGTTGGCATGTTGTGCAGTATTTTGTCATTTCCATCCCTGAAGGACTTTCATTCAGTCTGATTGTCCCTTGTTTGAGGGGTGATGTGGTATTGCTGACTGACTGTCTCATTTGACTGAGAACAATGGCATCCAGGGAGATTGTGACACACGGAAAGAATGTTGAGTCACCGCCCAGATATATGACACTGAAGTGTCACAGTGTGCGTCTTTATGGAGTTCAGATACCAGCTGCTGAATCCTCACTGGGTTTAAGATAAAGATACAAGATGAAGATAAAAGTTTGTATTTAACATTACTAACAGAACTGTGACAGGCAACCTTTTGGCACTCAAGATGTCAAATAAATTGTCGTTCTTATCATTAATTCGCTTGCTTGTCAACACAGAAGACTGAGCTAAATTTGGAGCAGTGTCTGTCTGACTTTAAAATGAATTGTCTGGATTTAACAGATTAGTCTACACATCTGGGAATTTCACAAACCAATCATTTCAACAGTGCTCGCCTGAGTGCACTAATCAACTCGCTTTAATTCTCCTGCTAATGCTCTGAATATCCAGGGCTGATTGAATTCAGGCCATTTAGATGACACTGAACCAGGTCGGTACACACAAATGAAGATAGCAGACAATTGAATCTAAATGGTAAAAGAAGTAAGAGTGGTATATGCAATCAGAGAGTGCCTAAGCTGAACTGTTTGCACTGGGGAAGGGCATTATTTTATCAGTGTCCAAAAAAACATATTTCCATTATTTATTCATTTATTCATTTTTAATGTTCCTACATCATGTGAGCACAGCAGCTGCCCTTTACATTGTGTGAACATTTTATGATGGATGGACCAATAGAAGTAAATAGAATAGAATTACAAAAATCTACATTAACTTACTTTATAAGCAAAGAATGTTTGTGCTTTCTTCTGTTAAGTTGCTATTTTGGAGATACATGTTTTTGGACAGCGACAGTTTGTAACTTCATGAGAATAATTGAATAATTTCCCAAAACAAATAGGTTTTGTCATGTTTTGAGTAGTCCATGTTTTACAGCTTTACCTTATAAGAGGTGAATTCCCTACCAGTAGAGGAATGAAGTGGTGACCCTGAATGAAAAGCTGTAATAAGGTTGGCTTCACTCAAATTCAGCAGAGATGTAGATGCAAGAACCAAATACCAAATTTCCAGTAACAGCATATTTTGTGGTATTTGAGTAGTCTGAGTGTCTGAGTTAGTACTGGAGCGATTATGTGTCTGGAGAGCATTAACACAGTTTTGCTGCCAGACTCCCGCCAGTCTAAGCTTTGCGAGTCTCACTAAGATGAAAAGAAAATGTTGGTTATTTTGTCGGCCCCAGACTGACTTAATAATTTCACCATACAGTTTTGTATGTCGCCCAGTCTAGGCTCTGTCATCAGTGTTAACTGTACACAGTTAAGGTCATTCTGAGAAAACAAAAATCCCAGTGTAGCTTAATGAGCTTCACCTAAAAGAGTCAGTCAAGCTGAGTATTCTGTGTTCTTGGCACCAGTACTCTTGGTTATCAGTGATATCACTGTAATGCACAAGCAGGATGTTCAGAACTTTTTATTCTCTTGTTTTCTGGTAAGCAGGAGACAGTGGAAAGGGCAGTAAATTCTGTTTCTGCAGAAAAACAGATCAGCCCTCTGGGAATGTGTCATGTGTTTGAAGAGCTCTATGGATTAAAACTATTGCTGACAAAGATCTCAGTTTACTGAATGCTATAATACATGGGCTTTTTTATTTTTGGAGCTTATTTAGGACTCCTTATACAGCCAAACAAAAGGGATACAGATTTGATCCATACAAGCCCTGAATTAATAAGGTTTTATGGCTTCATAAAAGTGCTGTAAATTGTCAGTACTTAGAAAATGACACTGTATTCAGATAACAAGACCCTGTATATTAATATATAACAAAAGCTAGTGGCATCAATAATGCTGTTCTTCACTCAGAAGCTAATTATCAGTAATTGAAAATGTAGGTCAAAACTTGAAATGAAGGTCAAGATAAACACAAAATAATGAGGTTACTCATTTACCTGTATTGAAAAAAGTTTTTGTCTCGTTTTGGAAGATTTTACTTTTCCATTGAATAGTGCTGGTATTGTCATCAACACTGTATGTGAGAAAACACACACAAGCACGCATGTACACAAACACTCCTTGCCTTGAGCTGTTTGTTTTGTACATAGACTTAGTCATGAGACTCGTGCTTGCCCCGAGCGAGACGTCAGGCCACCAATAGACCCACAAACACCAGCTTACCTCACCCACTGCTGTTATTTAGCACAATTTTCTATATGGCTAAAACATGTGCAGTACTGTTTGTTCTCTTCAGGCTATTGGAGTAATGGGATGTGCATGTGCATGGAAACTCTCTTCAAGCTATTTGTTAGTATGGTCAACAAGCATGGTCAGCTTAATCATCTTTCTCTTTGCCCATGATATTTCAATTAACCCTCACCTATTAATAAGACACTCTTCAGGGGCTCCCGAGTGGCTCAACCATAGAAGTGTTGGCCCCATTATCAGGAGATTGCAAGCTCAATCCCCAGTGATGCTACAACCATCCGTGGCCGGGAGTCCAAGAGAGCACACTTGACTTCACTCTCTCTGGGTGGGTGGGATGGCCCTCCTTCTACCCCATCTCTAAGTGCAGTTCTAGCCAGCGCAGTGCTGGCGGTTAGCACTCTCCTCCAAGCGCGTCCAGCTGTCCAACTGACATTTGAAAAGATCTGGTGGTTCACTTCACGTGACTTGAGGGAAGCTTGTGCTTGCCTTCACCCTCCTAACTAGTGGGTGGAATTGGACAGGACACTCTTCAGTGTCTTTGTGAAGAAGGCTTCTTGAAACTAAGTTGTGCTTTAAGTTTACTTCAGTAAACCAGCTGCAATAGAACAAGCAGCTTGCAGATCAGACTGTAGGATATGCTTTGGATTCTCGTCTTATTCGTCTGTTCTGTATCATGCCCTAATGTCTCTGTTTCAGGGCTGGGGGCAAAACACCAGCTCACGTGAACTTTAGTAGCACGTGGAGCTTGCCTCCTGATCATCCTGACTTTAGCCGCATCCAGTTTAGCACCTTTCTTTATAATTTACAACCACTGAGATGACTTTATGTCGCGATCAGACATTATGTCCCATTTTCTTGTCCCTCACCGTTGCTAACAGTCTGATTCTTATCTAATAATAGGAGTAGAGGGTTCCCGGGAGAGCGCCCAGCAGACCTCTTTATGTGCCACATTTAGCTCTTTCATGACTTCTTCACTATTTTAATAGGAGTTTACAGTACATTGTTCGTTTCCGCTAATGTCGCTAGTTCTGCTAAAAATATGTGAACGGCATTGTTTACATCCTTAAGAAGTACACAGTGTTTGCATTTTTGTCAGTTTTTACACAGTTTTACACGCAAAACTCTTTAAACATGTTTCTGTACTTCCTCGGACGTCGTTCTTTATTTTGAAGAAGACGTTTTTATAATAGAAAGCAAAAATAGCGTGTTGTTCAATACTAGCGCATCATACACATTTAATCAGAAAGTCCTGTGTGTCTTTTTTAGCCTGCCGTTGTTTTTTCCCCCACCCGTATTGTGAAAAGTCCCTCCTCCCTGCACTGCGATTGGCTAGTGTGATTTCACGTCCTGTGCTAGGATTGGCTGGGAGTTCGTACTTGAAAGAAATCTGCCGTTCGGCTAGCCAGTCCTAGCGGGGGTTGACGGAAAACGGGTGGAAAAGGAGAAAAAAGCGACGTGTGTCTGACGTCAGCGCTAAGCTGATGTGGGCGGGAGCTCAGCGTAGTAAAGAGGAATGCAACCGCAATATAGGGGAGGTCCGAAAACACGAACATCTCATTGCCCACACCAGTTGCTCATCTACGCTGACCTATGACGGATTTTTTATTATTCATGTTCTTCTGTTTGTTCGTGTCATTTTGGCGTTGGGGCTCGGTGTTATGACTCTCCACTTCACTGACCTATCCTGGACACAGTTTGTCTCCATGA